CGTGGCCTAATGGTTAGAGTCGGACTCGTAACCCAAAGGTTGCGGGTTCGAGTCTCGTACCGTCAGGGATTGTAGGTGGGGGGAGTGAATGTGCAGCGCTCTCTCCCACCTTCAATACGGTGAGGTGCCCTTGAGCAAGGCACCGAACCCCCAACTGCTCCCCGGGCGCCGCAGCATAAATGGCTGCCCACTGCTCCGGGTGTGTGTTCACGGTGTGTGTGTGTTCACTGCTGTGTTTGTGCACTTTGGATGGGATAAATGCAGAGCACTAATTCCGAGTATGGGTCACCATACTTGGCCACATGTCACGTCATGAAATTTCACGTACCATGAAGGATGGTAAAACATAAACAAGTAATTGTACCCAGCATGTATGTAAAATATTACCAGAGTACCACCATGTGACTAAAAACCAAATGCGAGACATTCAAACTGACCGATCAGCAGATTACAACTTCACCCACTGTGCAAAAGGTGTGACAATTAGAAGACCCCCGATGTATACACATGTTGGCCTACAGGTCTTGATCGATATCAGCACTTCTGTGCCTTCAGGAATGCCAAATGGCCCTTTTGTTACTCAAGATAGGTTTGGGACAGGAAAGCAGAAGTCTTTGATAATTTTTGACCCTACATAATCATATTAAAAATGTATTATTTTTGTCTGCTTCTAAGTTATTCAAAGTTATATTAAAGCTGTATTTCATAGGGACAATGCAATTTTAAATGCCATTTTTTACATTTCTGAATTAAAAGCTATTTTGATATTTTTTTTAAATTAAAGTTAAAAAAGATGTCTTATTAAAAGGCTGAAATTCTTTAAAAAAATAGCAATGTGAAGCAGTTTTGTTTGAAAATATTAAATATATCACAATAAAATAACTTGAATATTTTTAATGCCAATTCAAAGTCATAACCACAATGCAGAAAGCCATTTTTATTTTCACATGGAAAAGTAAACTACAAAACAATAAATTGCATGACAGAGAAGACCTTTGTAGACCTGTAGAAAAAAATTCTAATATATATACAGGTATATGTAAATCTATATGTAAAAACATATATATATATATATATATATATATATATATATATACACACACACACACAAA